TGAAACAAAAGATCTTTCTCCTACTATGAGGGGAGGGACATCTTCCTCTTCCCAGATTATACCTAAAATTCATTCATTTTGGTATAGACTACTACCAGCTTTGATGAAGGATTAGAACACTCTATTTATAGTAGGTGCTTAAAGACCGGGCTTCCTGAACCCATGGAAAACAAATGCGCCAGATTTTATTCTTTTGTTCTTTTAATAAACTGTCTGTGAAATTCTTCCCCTCCCCTTCTTTCCTGCTGGTTTACTTGCATTCTTATATGTTCAGTGTTTTTCTCTTCTGTCTTTGTTCCAGTTTATCAGCAATTTACACACAGTTGTTCCCCAGACTCCACAATTCCAACAGCAAAAATAACACTGACCTTTTGAGCCCATCAGCAATCTTGTTGGTGGCAATTTAGCAGAAAGTTACACTAATGAACAAGAACGCTGCTCTTAAATGTTAGATCATTAAATGTGTTTTATGAGTGTTTATTACTTCTTTAATGCACTTCCTGTGGAGATAGCCATATTCCAGGGAAGAATGAAGTTTTTAATTGACAAAAGTGGTCAATTTGTAAATCTCTTCTGGTTTAAAGATACATTTTCAGGTGTGATTTAGTCAAAGCAAGCAAGGAGGATATTTCTAGCTAGAAAGACAATAGCACTAACAACAGAAGGACTCTTCCAAAGGTACATTAACTCTTTGAAAACTGTGAGCTGGGCTTTTCCTGTGGGAGGGAGGGAGGTGAGGAGGGAGGGGAAGGTGACTGAAAACTTACATTTCACTCCCCAGACCGGGGCTGGTTAGGGACTGCTTTGGTTCCAGGCATGCCTGAGAGCAGACAAAACGTATTGTCAACAATAAACTTCCTCAGTTTTCAACCACTTCCCCTCACCCAGCCTTCAGAATGGTGGGAAGCCAAGAGCAGATGAAACAAAGCCAACTATAGAGGTTTATAATTTGGCTCTCCTACTCTATAGGTGATGGTACCTGTGGCTTTTGCAGACTCCATGGGAAAGGCAGGGAATCTAAACGCAGACCAGAATTTTCCACCCATATCAAAATCCCCAACTTCGCTTTAGCTTAAGTTTACGTACATACCCATTTCTAAAACTGATAAGAATACTTGTAAAGATTTAAGGATTTAAGTAGAATTAGGAGAAGAGCTCTTTGTCTGTAACCATTGTAAAGGCAAAAACCCAAACAAATCCAAAAACCCAAACCCCCAAAATCCCACCGAAGTTAAGTGTTATTAGCAAGAGGTCATGATACAAAGAGTGACTTTAAAACAGACAATGTAGGTTTTCCTTCATCACAGAACCCTTAAAGCTCATTTGTCTCAATGTATAAACCAAAGCAGGACAGAAAGGAAGTTTACCGTCTTCCTTCCTTTAGGTGTGTATTAAGTAGCATGAAGCTAGTGTTTTATCTTCCCCCTGTATTTTAGGCCTGTCTCCTCTCTTACAATTTTTATTATGCTAATTACCCTTCACTGCCTGTCTCTTACACTTGGAATGTTTTGAATCAGGTATGTTCCAAGAGAATTCTTTTATACCTCCATATGAAGCAAGGGAATCTGTATTTGAGGTGAAGTAATGTAAAGATCTAGTTCAGTGATCTATTTTGCTGTACAATTCAGTACCTTATTTTGTGGCCACTGGAAAAGGACAGTGTAGAAGGTCATTTTAAAGGGTGTTGCAGCATCTAGAAAGCAAGGTTTGTCAGAACATCAGTATCATGTGGCCTTGCAGGACATGTCTGTGTCCACGTCCACCGGAATCTTTCGATAGGTATTAATAACAAGCAGCATGACCCTGTGGGTGATCTGAGATAGTTACTGCATTAGGGACACGAGTTATTCGTTTATTTAGCTGCTCTGGGGAACTCTCTGTGACCCATTTCAAGGAATGACAGCAGAAGAAAGTGTCTGGAAGCATGATTCACGTGACAGTAGCAGGGTTTGTAAGAAGCTGGGTGTTTCAGAGGGAGTATATATACATACTACTAACTTAGGAAGGAAAGACAGAAATGCTGCCTACAATCCTGCCCACTAGCTCTGATACGTGATGCTGTTCAGCCTCTGCTATCTTGGGTTATAGTGGAAAGATTTTGTTTGTTTGTTTAAATCTTTTCTTGGGTCTTTCCCAATTTTAGCCTGAACTCTAGATATTTGGCTCTTAAATTCAACCTCCAGGGTGCTTCTGACTAATGCCAGGGTGCTATTGTGGGGTTTTACAGGAACTCTTGGGAACAGTCTTGCAGCACAGAGTGTGTGGACCAGTATTATCAAAACCCAGTTTTAGCTCTGAGATGGTATCTGTGCAACACAAGGTCTCAACACAGAAGCACACAAGAACTGCTTTCTGTACAGATTACACTGTGTGGTCTTGACTTCTATATCTGACTTTCTGGACCACCCTGACTGAGGGCAATAGAGATGAAAAGCATGCACGCTTCAGAACTGTTTTGTAGGAGTTTTCCCTCGTTTTAAGGAACTTTTGTTCAATAAAATAATTATTTTCCTCTAAATGAGTTATTACAGCCTGGGTTCATACCAAAAGGTCCAGCTATTTCCCAAAATAATTACTTGGTCCAGGTAATGCAGAACTAGGAAGAAGTTTAAATACAGAGGTTTGAAGAAGTCAAAACCAGAGCTGGGATCTGGATTCAAGCATCATACTTAACAGATAATTGCAATGACTAAGGTGGAACATTCAGACTTAAATCCAAGCTTTCTAATATGCTTTGTCTGGGATATGGAAGGCATCTTCCTTTATTAAGTTACTTTCCTGGTCAACATTAACATTTCGTGCTTTGAAGGTTTATTGTGTTGGCTAGAGCTATATCTTTATATATGCATAGCCCCTATGGAATAGCCTGATCTCTTTTCATCATTATTAGTAATTCTAGGCTTGTCATTTCCTATTCACGCAGTCTGGACCTCACTGCGTTGTTGCAGGATGGTTGATACGTGCACAGGAAATGTACTGTTTTTTCAGGTCTCAACTGTTCATGAGCATTCTTTTCAGAGGCTTCAGTTTTATTGCCATGAAGTCCATTTCCTACATGTAGTACAATTTACTAAATTACAAACAAACAAGGCACCAATAGAGAAGTCAGTGAAAGTTCACACTAAGAATAGAAGCTTGAAGAGAAAAGTTCAGTTATGTGACCTTCTTCAGGAGCTGGATACAAAATAGACCTGCTGTTTTTCCCTTTAATTTGCAGTCCAGGCAGAAAAGAACTTGAACAGTTCCCAGAGAAACCCAGGCCCTTCTGTTTGTTTCTATGAATCCTCCAGAAATGCTTTATCTGTTAGTTGACATCCTGAGTATGCTGATACGGAAATGAACTTACTTGATCTCCTAATTTCCCTCCTGTATTGTCAGCTGATTTTCGCATCAATCTCCTGTTCTGCAATGTTTAGGAACAAAATGTTACTGATACATACCTTTAAATTGGCCATTAAGGCAAATTAGGATCATCAGATGAAAAATACCATGTAAGTATCAGTCACTGCTTATTATTGCCCTTTGGAATTATGTTTGGGAAAGAACAATAATTCCTAAGAGCAGGTTTTTAGGCCGTTGGTGATAAACAGGGAGATGCTACAGGGAGATGAGTACAGTGCAAATACTTACGCAATGTACTAGCTATCCAGACTTTTTAAAAGTTCCTTCTGTTCAAATGATGGCTTTTTTCTTCTCCTTTGTATTCATCTTTTTTTTTTTTTTTATAGCATACTATCATCCCTACTTTTAGCTTATCTTGAAAATTCCCCCAAAGATTAAAGGATTTTCCCGATTGCTGTCTAAAGGAGTTAGTCTGCTCTTTAGGAGTTACTCCAAAGAGTTCCTGCTGCTAACAAAGCAGTAGAGCAGCACGTCTGCCTTGGTGCACTTGGCATACAGAGAATCACTGCAACTTCTTGGGTTAAAAAGGGTGGATTAGAACGAAAGACTCACATATCTCAATATGCCTTGATGAAACCAGACTATCCCTGGACACTTTCTGTTTAAAGTTAAATATTAGACACTGTCTCCCTGACACTTTTTTTTAATGTAGCCTAAAAGGCTTAATATTTAACTCAAAATACCCAACCACTGCAGATGCTAAGTGCTGAATGTTGTTACATCTTCCAGAATATACACAAAGCCGTGCTTAAACTCAGAGTGATATACTTAGACATGTGTAGCCATCCCTGGACATGGTAACTGGTTTTCTCATTCAAATGAAGCACTTATGTTCTGAATTTCAGTTGCATTTTGAAGCAAAAGGCACAGCCAATAGTTCAGTGGGAATAACTAGTTTAAACGGGGTGTCCACTTAGTACCTGCAGAAAGAAATATCCTTTATTGAGATGCACTTTTCTTTGTTCCAGATCAAGGTCTTAATTTGTTTGATCCTAACTGACATTACCTTTCATTTTGGGATGAATTCCCAATTATATTGGGCCTCAAATCCATGTTGGAAGACAAAATTATTTTTTATTACTGGCTGCTGTCAAAGCCTTATTGCAACTAAAATGCATATCTGTGAAAACCATTGCCATTTTATGACCTTTTTCCTATTTCTAAGCCTTTTTGTTGAATGGTATAATTATAAAAAGCTCCTAAAGATGTTCTGCTTTTAGATAAGTTATTTCTGAGGCTGAGGAGTTGGCCCAGAAGTGGCAATTAGCTAGGAATGGCCACATCCATGCCTCTTTAACCTTCTGGGGCATCTCAGGGTTAGCCACCAAAGCACAGGGCGCACATCCCAACCAGCCCTGCGACAACTAAAGGGGACCGGCCCTACTGCTGCCGCCTGTACCCCCGGGGCTCTGCGCCCAAACCCTTCCGTGCCCGGCCGTCGTGGCACAGAGCCTCCTCGGCCCTGGAGGTGAGCCGCGCCGCCCTAAACCCCTCTGAGGAGAAAGGGGCGTGTCCCGGCGGTGTCCGCCCGGGGGAAAGTTCGCAAGGGCGCGCGCGTGCTTAACGGTCAGCGCGCGCCCAACCGTCTGCGTGCCCCGCACCGCGCCATGGCGGGAGGCCTGGAGTCGCTGGAGTCATGCTTGGAGCAGCACATACCACCCGAGGACCTCGCCGAGGTGAAGCGGATCCTCTACGGGGGCGAGGCAAGGTGCGCTGCTAGGACGGGCTCCCCTCCCTCTCTCCCGCGGGAGAGGTCGTGTCCCATCCCGTCTCCCTCCTCCCCCCCGGTCTCCGCGATGGATGCCCAGCCCGGGAGTGAGGTGGAAGGAGTCAGTTTGAGGGCGGGTGCGCAGGACACAGGGCTGGGCTGAAAGGAAAAAGAAGGGTAGGTCCTGCGGCGCTCGTAGTATTGCGGTGAGGTTAGGCTGTGGTGAGATAACTGAGGTAGTTGGAAGGTAATCCAAGTTTGGGAAGCAGGGCGGTAGAGAGGTCGTATGAGAAGGTGGCTGACTGGAATGCAAGACCTGAGGGGCATAGTTTTGAGGGGGGGCTGGGGAGCTTGTGGCTTCGGGGGGAGGGAGCTGCAAAAGTGGGCATCTAACATGAGGAAAAATACGTTGGAGGGAAAGTGTGGGGGTGGCAGATGAAAGTTTGTATATATGTGCTCCTTGATTTCTGTAGCAAGGTAATAGTGTCTGGAAATCAGAACCACAGAGGAGGACACTGGGAGTTTGCTGCCATGGAGGAGAGCCGTGAGATTTGCACATGACCTGGCTACTGTCTGACTGTTCCCTTGTCTGATAGTCGTGTATGGGGGCATGGGAGCTTGGTTGACTCTGCAGGAGTAGACAGTATTTGTGGTCCTTTTGATCCATTGCATTCAGAGCATAAAAGGGGAACATCTCATCTTGAAATGTCTTTGTTTCCTGTTCAATCCAGAAAACTTAATTTACCAGCTGCTGCTCTATCAGCAGCTCAGGAAGGAGATTTTGAGCTACAGGGCTACGTATTTGAAGCTGCTCCAGAGCAATTGAGAAGGCCACGTATTGTTCGAGTAGGACTGGTACAAAATAAAATTCCACTTCCCACAGACACAGCCGTGGCAGTCCAGGTACACAAACCGGGGTCTGGGCCATTTGCGTGTAACTCCTCTTCTACTGGATTGAAAATAACACGCTTCAGTTGTTGATGTTAGAAGCTCCATCATGAAATGTCTGCTGATTGTCTGGCAATATAGGACCCATACAGCATACTGTAAGAAATTTCGAATGACACATTCAGTTTTGTTGTTTCTCAGAAAAATCTCTTGTGTTTTGTTTACCTAGTGAATTGACCAACCTGTTTGCAGTTTTTCCAAAGCTAAATATTTAGTCACTGATTTTGTACATGAAAATCCTTTGCCTCTAAAATGAAACGGAAAATCATTTACCTGAAATCAAAAGAGATGGCAACCCATGGAAACCACAGGTGCAGTTTTTGTTTTAATTGAGAAATATTCCATTATAGGAAAATCCATTAGAGTAAACACAGATTAATAAAGCTGTGTTCATTATTCTTCGTACAGCAGTAACCCAAATCTTACTACAAGGTGACCATCATCTCCTAACACCTTGGACACAAAAGTTCTGAGGTGACATATATAGATATAGCCTCCTAAAAGTGGCTTTAAAAAAGTGAAAGAAAATACCACATTTATAAAATCTCCTGGAGTAGTGGTTTGGTACAGTGACAGGACAGAACATTTCTGAGGTAATTTATTTTGGAAAGATTACCTGTCACAGATGCAAGTAATTAATTCAGTATATGGACCAAGTTTGTGTATTCTTTGTAGCCTCTGTTAAAAGGACTACCAGTTATGTTAATGATTTTACCTTATAAATAACTAGTTAACTATTTCTGTAAATCGATGTACAGTTGTTGAGTTCACAGGTCACTGTTGACTTGTCTTGTCTTTTTTTTTTTTTTTACTGACTCCTGAAAGTGTCAATACAAAGTGCTACACCTATGCTTATCTTTAAGTAGAATACTCCAGAAAAAAGTACTTTGAAACACTGTTTTTGGCCTAATTAATAAATGCTTTGATGTTTTTTTCTTGGTAATAATCTACTTAGCTCTTTGGACAGAGGGATTTGGAAAATAGTTTGGAGTTAATAACTTCTAGAGAGTGTCCAAGATCCACATGTGTGAGCAGGATTTGGAGATAACCAAAGAAATGGACTGTCCTTATCTCATATTTTAAGATTCTGAGTACTTGACTTTGAATTCACGTTTACTTAACATCGTTCTGTAGGTTGTTTACGATGAGCAGCAAAGTTGTAATTTTTGCTGATTCTATTAAGATTTCTAGCTATTTGCAAGTTAGTCAGCAATGAGTTGTCATATATTTAAATGTTGTAACCATGGAATTAGAATTCCATTGGATTCCTTTCTCTATTTTCAGCATCTAAACGCTTTTAAAAATCTGTATCTAAGTCCTTCAGTGCTCAGGAATGATAACTTCTTGAGTTATTCCCCCTGAAAGCAATGGCACTAAGTATAGAACAAGATAAATTTAATGTGAACAAAGCTTGTAAAACCAGACTATTAATATATAAGTGAGTTAAAACATACAGCTTTTTTTATAGCATGACACTTCTCACAATCAGGTGGCTGCACTGCACAGACGAATTGAGGAGATTGTGGAAGTAGCTGCAATATGTGGGGTCAACGTAGTTTGTTTCCAGGAGGCTTGGAGTGAGTATTTTCTGTGATTGCTTCCAGGTTATCAGAGGTCAAGTTCCTTCTATTTTAACAAGTATCCTGTACTAGAAGTATGTCGTGTAAGTAAACAGCAGAGATCTTCCAAGATATAACAGTTGACTTTACTGATATGCTTTCCAAAGGGAAAAACAAAGAGTCTTAGTTAGCAGAACTGTATGGAAGATGTATGTGAAGTGTGTTACATTGAAGACTGGTGTATGCTGCAACAGTGGTATTTGTAGGTGTCCTCCTTCTTCATGTCATCCTTCGTGATCCTTTCCTCATTTTTTTTCTTCTAAAACTGTCTTTTTTCTAAACAGGTATTAAAATTAAAAAACTCTAATTTTAATTAAAATGGAGTCTTTGAGTCTTAATAGAAGCAAAAACCAAAATGAAGGCCTGTGAAAACAGGTTATTCACAGAAAGTGTACACTAGTGACGGTGTATTTTGTATTTTTACCTCCGGTAATACTTCACTAAGTGCATTCTTTCTCTTCTGCTTTGCTCTGTGTGGGCCCAAAAGTCCTTGCCCTTGCTAAAAATATTTTTAAATAGCTTTTGCCTTTAAACAAGGAAAACACCTGAATCATTCTTACGTGTTTAATTTTTTATCTGTATTCATGCAAACATGAATATCTGTATTCATGCAAACAGTGTGTATTTCTTGAGTGACATGAACATTCTTGTAAATTTTGTCTTGCATTGGTGTTTTTCAGCCATGCCCTTTGCTTTTTGTACAAGAGAGAAGCTTCCTTGGACTGAATTTGCGGAGTCAGCAGAGGATGGGCCAACAACAAAATTCTGTCAAGAGGTAAAAAAACAACCAAGCGCAAAAAAAAACCCACATTCAGCCTCCAACCCCAGCCCATAACTGCCACTGATTAGCACGGATTTCTTCTTTCTACTGGTCTTGTACCACTAAGAAAACTGAAATAATAAAAAATAAATTTTCACCTTAATTGACAAATATTATGATAGTGTGTGAAGTAGAAATGGACAACAATAACTGTGCTCAATGTTTATTTTTTAAACTACTTTGCATATATAGACTGCCTTGTACCATGAAAGGCATATGAAACTGCCCATTTTTAATTTCCATTTAAAAGGTATTTCTTGCCTAGAACAGTTGAGCATTAAATGATGCTTGTATGAAAGTGTGAGGAGAAGAATAGCTAGCCTTTTCTGAACAGGGAACACTTTCACACAAATCTTTTGCATCTCCCTGTGAAATGACACAAAATGTAGGGGGCTTTTTGTGAACCCAAGGAGACTTGTTATTGTCTGGCTCTTATTTTTCCAGAGACTCTTGATTGCAAGGGTGGCAGAGTATTTTTGTTTTCTGACAACTTTTTTTTAACAAGGAATTTCAATTGTTTTCTTTTATGAGTGATTGAAACAACAAAACACTGTTTTGATGTCAAATTTGCCCAGATATGCACTGACCTATTAAGCTTTTGTAGACAGCATAATATCTTTAGTCTGATCTAGGGCAAGTGTGTGTTGCTTCTCCCTATGGAATTAATGACACTATGGAAGTTTGGAGAAATAAAAGAAAGATAAGTGATTTGAAGGAAAAGACAACGTGTAGTAAACTGGCAGTCAGAAGTTGCTACATTTCTCACTCACACCTATGTTATTTAACACTTATGTAATGCTATTTTACGTTTCCTGTTTTTTCTTTCTTTTTTTTTTTTTTAAATAACTGGTTTTAGCTAGCCGTGGTGTCTTTCATTCTGATATACCACTCGTGGTGTATCAGAATGAAAGAATTGGGTGGGATATATCTCCTCCTATACCTGTGAATAGATAGATGTCGGCTTCGTAGTTTGACCATTGTTGTTAGGATGCTTTTTTTCCTGTTGATACCTTGCATTTCTAGTTGAAGGATTCAGGTGGAAAGCTCTCTGTGATGTATCCATCTTTGATGAAGAAACTGTGACGATGTGGACATGCCAGTGTGGGTTAAGCGTTAGCCCTTGATAACAGTCAGAGTAATATACCAGATGAAAACTTTTTTTAGTCCTTCTTCATGAACAAAAAAATGAAAATAATTACTGTAGGCTTGTGTATAATAGAAGAATTGTGTTCATTTGTATAGCTGGCAAAGAAATACAATATGGTTGTGGTATCTCCAATCCTGGAGCGAGATGAAATACACGGAGGAACTCTGTGGAATGCTGCAGTGGTCATTTCTAATTCTGGAGCTGTCCTTGGCAAAAGTAGGAAAAATCACATTCCAAGGGTTGGAGATTTCAATGAGGTAAGATGCAGTATTGTGATTATCAAGCTAGTTTTACTTTGCAGCTCTTGTTCATGTCAGCATGTGTTGTATCAGAGTCATATTGGTAGGAAATGTAATGTATTTCTAGAAAATGTGGTTCATTAGGTGTCAAATCAGTTTTTCTCAGGTGAAGTTATAGTAAGCTAGTTTATCAAGAATAGAAAGTGATGACTCTTAAAGGACAAATAACATTGAATCTTTGTCATGTACTCTTCCCTGGCCTGATGGTAACTACAAAAGTATTAAAGATCTTTAAAACAAAATTCCTTAAGTCACAGCTTTGTTATGTTAGTTGTGTATGATTGGCTCAGATGGTTTTTGCGTGTGTGCATGTTGAACTTATTTTAATTTGGAAGGCAATCGTTTCAGGGTTCAGGTGTGAGCGTTATTTATGGTCTTGATCTCTGTTTCTCTGTGAGATTGTCTTGGAAATGACAGTTCTTTTGCTTATGTTTCTTTGAGCTGAATCCCTTAATTCATTACACTTTTGATTGAATAGCTGGTTTACGGCATCTTCTGTTTACTAATCACATTACTTCCACTGAAGCCCCCAGCAGTTTTTAGGCCGTCCTCCAGAATCAGCTTCAGAAACTGAACTGGTAGTAAAGGCAATGCGAGAAGAAAACTGATAGATCTGAAATGTGTTTATCCATCCATAGAATTATCACAAGCAGAAAGATCAGGATTAAAAATTAACCAAAGTCTAAAAATACATTGTCTTATCTAACTAAATCTCTCCTTGTCAGCCAAAGTGAGTAGTTAACAGAGGCATTTCTTCTAAGGACTGGGGGCTGCTATATACCTGCAGTTGCTTTTGTTCCCTGTCCAAATCACTAAACTGAGGCTTCAGAATCCAAACTGCTTTTTTATTAATTTTAAAAGGGGTTTTTTGTGTCTTGAAACTTCGTATTCAAAGACCTCTGGAAGTTTTGACCTGGGCTCCCAGACCTGATCAGACTGGTTTGTGTTTCTTCAGAGGAGGCTATTAATAGGTTTTTACACAATGGATTTCTGGGACAGGCCGGTCGGTCACCAGTGTTGACTTCTATCTTTAACAATTATTTTGATATTTAGTATTATTCTATCAGATCTGTCTTTTAGCTAGCAAAACAGTAACTAACAAACGCATACAAAATACAAGCACTAATAAAAATGAATGTTGGTTACTTTCCACATTCTTGATTTGTTCCTTGTGTAATCAAACAAAAAATAAATTCCTGTTGCTTGTGCTAAAATATGATGTCTTTCAGTTTTCCAGACACTGTTTTGTGGAGCATCAACAGATTCCAAGAAACTTCTTGTTTCCAGCTGAAACTGTAATGAAAGGCACCTAAAAAAAGAAAATATTTTTACTTTTCCATGTGAAGTATAAATAGAATTTCATTAAGAGTTTTGCATAATTCCTAAAAGGAGTTAGTTCTTATAATCCTAAATGCCAGAATTACCACAAAACAATCTAGTATACCTGCAAGATATAAATATAATGATTTGACATTTCTTGTTGTATCTACCTCATTGTAGAAGCAAGTAGTGTTTACCCAGAACAGCGTTGTCTCTTTAGCTAGTTTTGTTAGCAAAGCATTAAGTCCATTCTTCTGAGCTGAGCAATTCCGACAGAGGAACTTTAGAAACCACCAAGACTACAGGGAAGGATTATGCTCATCTCTTGTTACTTTAATGGTGTTTTCTTTATCAACAAAGTTAACCCCCAACGAAGGGTTGAATTTGAAATTATTTTTTGTGGATTGTCTCCGTAGAGCAGATACGGAAAGGAGCCTTGTTAAAATCACCCTTGTTGAATCGGTGAGAACCAAATGGAAAGGGGAAAGATATTGGTCTGTAACCTATTCAGCCATGGGGGGGGGGCATATAAATAAACAAAAATCAATCCTTCTTGAGACATCACAGTTTGTTGCTGTGGAGTTGATTGTGACCTCTGGTGAGGAATAAAGAAATAAGAACTGATGAATTCCGTGAAGCAACAGTATTTTTGTTTTTCTTCTCCTGTTGTAATAAAAGAAAACTGAGAATAGAAGAAAATATGGAAATATATTCAATCAGCGGAATTGTTTTGAAAAAGGATTGTGTGAGTGCCCACCACGTGGTGTGTTCTCTACAAACATGAAAGGAGATAAAATCAGTGCCCAAGGGACTGTGCATGAGACCTGATAATAAATAAGAAACATGAGATGTCGCATCTACTGGGCATACTGAACCTCTAGTCTTTCTTGGTTTCAGAAGATGATCCCCCTGTATCTATTCATGCCATTCTCCTACACTTAGATGAGGCCCTGGTTTGTTCCCCAGCTGTAACTGTGCTTGCTTTAGGCCTGATGTGGTTCTGCTTCCTTCAAAACCAATGGCAGTGCTTGTTACAATGGACAGATAGTTTCAATAAAAAGGGAATTGTTTTATAACACACCTTTCTTATATGATAAGAGGCATGCCCCCTTGGGTCAGGCTGGTGGATTATGTACCCTGCTTTTCTAATCTCAGAGATCATCACAAAAAGGTACTATTAGGAGTAAGTGTTGCCACTCTGCAACTTCTGTTGCAGATCCCTCAGTATCCACCATCATTGTATTAGGGATGTTGGGTGGCATGTTCCTGTCTATTTCGTTTCTTATCTGTGGTTCTTTTATCAATGACTTTGTCTAATTCCTTCTGAACCTGGTGATAATACCTGCTTTTACAAAGAAGCAGATTTCAGAAGTGCACTGCCTGCTGCATGAAAAAAAGTTACTTTGGTTGAAAACAGGTACAAGAGTAATTTCAGTCAATACCCACTACTGCTGCTGGTTTGGGATTTTTGTATTCATCTTATCCACTGCCTTTGTGATTTTGTAAATCTCATTCGTAATATCGCCCTCAGCCTTCTATCTGCAGATTGAAGAGCCTTTTTGGTTGCTCGTCACAAAGGAGCTGCCCCATCCCCTTTATCGTTTCAGTTCCCTTTGCTTATTCTATCTCTAGTATGTCCTCATTGAGATGCAGATTCTAGAATTGCCCAGAGTACTCAAGCCATGGGCACACAGAATTCTTATAAACCAGCAAAATGATGTTTTTGTTACATTTCAATACCCATCCTGTTGATGTCTGAGATTTTCTTGGGTTTTTGACTACCACTGAGCACTAAGCAGGCAACTGTCAGTGACGCCACACATACCCTTTTCTTGTATCTGTGAAGAACGATTTCTGTACATTTCATTTAGAATATCTCTGTGAATGTTTGTCTGTCTTGATAGCTGTTAACAGTGCCCTGTCCTTCTCTTCACTAGTGCCTTTACTGGAACCAGTGCATTTCTAATTGTTTAGAAATGTTTGATGTGATAAGGTGAAATTTTGTGGCATATGGTAAATGGGATCTTTTAAGCCAACAGTTGGCTCCAGTTTCTTTAAGGAGTGTTCTCTAGATTTATCCTGTGATTTTCCTGGTGGTAGTTTCAAGCCTTCTGTTTGTTTAAAGCAATAGGCATATAGGAAATTTAAATAACCAATCTTAGCTATACACTGATATTTCCTTATAGCATTCATAAAATTACTGCATGTCATTGCATAATAGGTGAATATAAAGGAATTGCATGTTCTTTAAACAACGTTCATCATCTCTCTCTTTAATCAGAATCAAAGGATTGTGATGATTTAGGAAAATTTTCTTACGTGGTGAAAGTACTAAGAGAGGTGCCTTAAGTTTGGTAATTTGTGGATGTCTCCTAAGCTTCTGTAGAGGTTTCTGGCATTAACATGAGTGTTTATATCAAAGTCAGACAGTGCTTAGGTGTAGTATGAGTGAAGGGAAACAGAAAGGGGCTTGAATTTGATCTCAGCAGCCTGAGAGCCACTTTTTGCTACATACCCATTACAGTGCAGCTATGTACTAAATTAAAGGTGTTATCCTCACACATGATCTAATGACTTGAAGCTGGTAATCAGAAATTGGGAAGTGTCAAAGCAATGTTGGAAGTATTTCTTTTCGCTTTTTTAAGAAGTCTACCTTTGTGGGTTTTTGTTTTTTTGGAGTCTACTTACTATATGGAAGGAAATACAGGACACCCAGTGTTTCAGACGCAGTTTGGAACAATTGCTGTGAATATCTGCTATGGGCGCCATCATCCTCTGAACTGGCTCATGTTTAGTATGAATGGAGCAGAGATCATCTTTAACCCTTCAGCCACTATTGGAACGCTCAGGTAAAATACAAACTGATTTAGGCTGTTGCATGCTTTCTGGGTTAACTGAACCTCTGAGCCCCTCACTGGGACCTCAGGGGCACCTTGCTGAGGTCTGGAATGTGAGGTATCACCTCCTTGTTTTGCCTTTACAAAGGAATCTGCATTCTTCTCCATCTGGAGTTTTGGGCTACCAGTCTGCTCATAGTCGCTAATTCTCTTCCAGAACTTGAGTTGTACATCGACAGGTCTTTTGTCTCTGAGACAGAGTTAACCAGCATCCAGGTGGTGTTCTGAAAACTAATGAGAGTTTGTTTAGATTATCTATGTAATATTTTTGGTTTATGATAGGCAGTAGTAATTTACATTCAGGCTTAGCTTGCCAGCTTGCATCGTCCACCTAGGAGCCAATAAGTATGCTATCAAATTGCAGTTTTCAGAGCCCAGCTGAGAAACCCTTTTCTCAGAAACTTTTTTTTTTTAAACTGCTGGCAATTTTGTGATTATCAGGCCTCTTGAACCAGACTGAACCAGTGTGAACTGTTTCCCTTGAGATTAATCTTCTGCATATTGACATTAAATTGCATCCTAGTGACTTGACTTCCTAAAAGAAAAAAGAAAACCAGCTCAGTGAGCTAAGAAAACACACTTCTTAGCTAGCCCATAATGATTAAATCTAGTTCACAAATTATTTTTCTTTGCATTATCAGCATCAGTCACATTTCGATACAATAACCTTTGAATGTGCCATGCTTCCAAAGCATTGTCTGACACAGGCTGTGTATTCCTTGGGATACTATAGTGTGGTGCAAAATAACTGCATTTCTTTGAGGCCAGTGGGGGGGCTTGCTTTAGGTAGTAACCTTGTAGAAATGGTTTCAGTGGTTCTTTATACCACTCTTCTTGACAAAATCACCATGCCTTCCTTTCATTCTCATTGTATTCTGTTCTTTGCTGTACTACTCAATACTTTCAAATTCCAAATTGGACTATTTGTAAATTGAGGTGTGGGATTCCAGAATGTGTCTACACATCAGCTTAACATGTGAGAGAACAACTCTCTTTTTGTTTTTTTCTTTTTTTTTCCTGATAACAGTAGGCTCTGAAAAGTAATTTAGTATTGTATAATGTTTACATACATATGACTGAGGAAGTGATGGTAGTTTATGCTTAATTATAAATATTAATATTTTTAACCCTTTTCAGCATAAGTGGCTAGCTTTGTATGGGGCCGAGGGGGAAGTCTGGCTTTGTAGAGCTCTTTGGAACAAAAACATTTCCTTTGTGAGTTAAAAAACCGTATTTTGCACTAGCTGAATTGTCTTTGAGTTTCCAGCTCCAAAGATAAGTTTTAGGAAGCTAACAGGAGCATATTTCATTGTTACTGATGATACTGTAATACAAGTATAATATCCAGTAGCAAATGACAAAGGAAGACATACTGATCTCTTATAATACTAAAAATTCTTTCTCATTTCTCTTCTCTCTCCCTTCAGCTGGGCTTGTGAGTGTGGACTCATTGCAGAATACTTTCATTTTTATTTCTTTAAACCTAGAGGAAGAAATTTTCCAGGGTCAGTTTTGTAAACCTTAATGTATGAAAGGTTCATAACTGGGTATACAAGGCAATAGAAGAGTTAGAAATTTAAGAGGAATATCTTTTTTAGCATTTTCCATTTCTTCAGGATTCACCCAATCCCCTCTCTTTACCTGTTTAATGTAAATTTGGAGTTTTTCTGCCTCTAACAAGGTCCAAGAATATTCATCCAATTTTTTTTGCTGACCAGCTAGAAAATTCTGAGGACATTGAGCATTCATAATAGGGTAGAAATGGTGAAAGACAGATTAGAGGCATAAAATTTTCATACCACAGTCAGTTCAGATGCAGAGAACCATGTATTTACAAACCTGGAGAGTAGAGCTGTAGGTTAGATGCAGTATTCTGTCATTCAAACTGCCTTTAATATTTTTTGGTGTAAAAGATAATTTAGGTTGAGTAATATTGGAAAATGTCCTTTGAAAAGAGTTGAATGAATACACAATGCTTTTGGGGCATTTATGTCACTACTAGAATAATATTTGTGGTGTCTGTCCACTTATAGTCCATTAACAGGAGAGCAAACAGAAGTAACCCTGTTGTCGTACAGCACTTCATTGGTACTCTGGGTGCTTCAGGCTCTCCTAATTATTGGCTTTCACTTGATTGTTTTTAAGTATATAATTTTTATTGCAGGAAGAGGACTCTTGAGGCGCATGTAGAAACTGTCTCTAGGGTCGCTTCTTGGCTATAGCCTTTTTTTCCTGTCTCTTCTGTGAAATTGTAATTTGCTGGAGCTTTTCAATAAAATCCCTTTTTCTCTAGAAGGGCTGGCTGCCAGACTCTAAGCAATTGAGAAAAGAGGCAATAAACCAAGTCCTTTCAATCAGTCCAATGAACATCTCTTAAGATTCTTGAGTCTGACTGGGAGATTAATGAGTCAGATGCTTGCAACCTTGTCTTGGTACTCAGAATCTGGCAGGTACATGCTGTCACAGGAGTGTACAAATTGTATCACCTTTGTTTTGCAGCTCTGAGTGCTTCTAGACCTCCTATTAACTAGCCTGATCGCTGTGTATCAAACTATTTAATAAAAAGAAGACTATTTCAGTTTTAAACATCAGTGAGAATTGAAATCTCCTTTGGAAAAGAGGTAGAGGCTTGTAAAAGAGAAGGAATTTTTTATTCCTCATTTCTCAGTTCTTGATTTTATGTAAATTTAGTGAGTGGTTTAATAGATAATTACTGAGAACTTATTGGGATGCTTTTAAAAATGCTTTCTTTTTCCATCAACCCACCATGGGAAAATGACTTGCTGGAAAATGCTATGAGAACTGTGGTTGAAATAACAGAAGTAGGAAGTTTTGGTGGAAATGGATTTTTCTTTTCCTTTCTTTTTTTTATTATCCCCATTTTTTTGGGGGGTTGTTTTTTTTTTTGATTGACTGCTGCAAAAGCCTCTCCTGGACCATTTTGGGAAAAAAAGGCAACTTGTATGAATCTCTTACAGCTTTGCTACAGAATGATGTTTGGTATATTGAAAGTTAATGGAATGTGAAAGCACATGTGTAAATCCTTTGTGTAATTTGGAGAGTAAAACATTTTTCACTTTAATTGCTTTGAAAATCTTGAGATGTGTTAATTTTTTTCTTTTTTTTTTTTTTTTTTGCCATGACAAAGCCATATTTACCAGGTTATCAGATAGAATTGTTTATTCCTATATTTGAGCAGAAAATAATTATAGTGCTTGGCTGTATCTGTGGGGAGATTTTGATTGTAAGAGCAAGATCAGTCTTAGCAGCTACTTTGGCTTCTTTGACAGAAAATGTACGGTGTAAGACAGTCATAATCTAAATTTAGCTCTGAAGTAGACAAGTAGTAAATACCTGCCTCCTCTTTTGTGTATTGCAGCGAGGCACTGTGGCCAATTGAAGCAAGAAATGCTGCCATAGCTAATCACTGCTTTACATGTCCCATCAACAGGGTAGGAACGGTATGTATCTTCACTTTGTTATTTCATTTCATAATTTAGGTATTGTAGCATGAGTTAATTCAAGGTAATGAACTGAATAGCACTAGAATGCATAGATTCCTCTATTGTATAACTGCTGTATTAGTGTTTATAATATGATTTGAAGATGGACAGTGATAAAGAGATTGAGATCTGCCTTGTTGCTAGCAGTCTACTTTTTGGTTGCAGCTGCCTCCTGTTCTTGAATTGCTCTCTCTGTAATAGGCACCTGCCCTTTTGCCAATTCTTCTAGTTTCTATGGTGAAATCAGTGTTCTTTTAGCCAAAATGACTGAAAATGAAATATATCGTCAAGTCAGTGGTACACAACTGGTTGCTGTTGTACAGATACTACGTCTTTGGACACTGAAATTCTATAATGAAAATTAATATTGCACACAATAGGTCATTCTTGCTTTCAGATTAGTCCAAATACTCTACATGTGTGTTGTTTTATAAGGTTCCCTGCAAAAATGCAGACTTGTTCTTGCCATTACTTGAATACCTTTGCCTTCTTTTGTGATCCACAAAGATGTGTTTGGTTAAATGTCTCCTCTTTTGCCTCTCCTTTAGACTTGTGAAACTGGTACAAGACTTGTTTCCCAAAGTGTATGAACAACAGGCAGTGATACAAAAAGATCTTGTTTTCTAGCCTATCCATCATAGAAACTAGGCCCCTCTGATGACTCCCTTTAGACAGTGCTGGTAGTATGCCAGAAAAAATCTTAGAAGATATATACAAACTTCCATACTAAATACGATAGACTAGCAAGGATTTCTTGAATGAAATGGAATTATACTGCCACCTATGGATTCCTCTTATTTCACAGGAATACTACAAAAATGCCTTTACTTCTGGAGATGGTGGAAAAGGTATGTTCAGAAATCACATTCTGTGGTTGCTAATAATTGTTAACTAGAAAGTCTGAAGAAACAATAGCTCTCCTGCAAGTGTCTATCCCATGACAGCTATGGTAGCTAGCGACTGCCTTACTTAAGACTGCTGTTTTGTAAGCTGGAGAGAAGCAGCATTTCCTATTAAAGGTGGTGGTACCGTCGTATGTGGTCACCAGAAGTTCATACCTAAGGTTTCTATATACTTTCAGAGAACTAAGAGTTTTGGAGTCAATGCAGTATTGTAGGATTGGAAGACAGAAATCCCACAAATTAGCCTGTGTTGTCAGTGCATGAATGACATTTTATTTGTAGTTTTTAAGATTATTAACAGTAATAGCTGTAGCCTGAATCCCCAGCCAAGCCTTTTTGCCCTGTTTCACAGATTTGCTGAAAGTTAAAGAAGAGAATGCTCAAAGAAGAGCATTCTCAAAGGGCATGAGATTTGCTTGTATGTACTTTGCTTGTTTGTTGAAACACTATAATTTCTCCTGTGACAACCATGACAGCTTCTGGGTTAATCTGGAGTGGGCCTGAGCCTTTTTTTTAGCTGGTTTTGGAGCTAAGTGTTTGTAGCAGCTGTATCAAAAAGGTCAGTGGTATCCATTGCTTAGTAGTACAACAGATATGGCTGATTTTTGGCACAACTCAGAGTTGTGCAATATGAAGTAAGATTTTTTCCATGCCTCAAATCCCAGTGTTTTCATGTCTGACTTTGTATTGAAAATTGAATGGGTGCATCTCTGTCAGCTGTTTTGGAAATGTATGATTTGACAATGAGAATTAATTTCAATTCTAAGTAAAAAACAATGAAAGCAAAGCCTTTACTTTAGTTCAGAGACTAAATAATGGAAAAGCATAATAATGCATTATTTAAAAGGCAATGCAGTGAATTTTTTTCCTGTTAATTCAATATATGTGAAAGCTGTACCGTACATGAAAGTAACTACTGGTCAAAACTTAGGATCGTGCTGTGACTCTTCAGGAGGGTATCTTGCTTAAAGCACAGTGAGTGAGTAACCACAAGAAATTGAGCCAGATTTTATGGGATGTTGCATGTTAAGTTGTATACTTATTTGCAGATGGCATTACATGCTTTTTAAAAATTTCTTTAAGCACACCATGACTTGGGCCATTTTTATGGCTCAAGTTACGTAGCTGCACCAGATGGCAGTAGGACCCCAGGACTCTCTCGCACTCAGGATGGACTTCTGGTGGTAGAGATGGATCTAAATCTTTGCAGGCAAGTCAGTGACAAATGGAATTTTAAGGTAAGCCTTATAAAGAAGCAAACTTACATATGATATTAGAACAAAAAAGCTTTCATAATTATCATATAATCTTAAAATAGTTAAAAGGCAGCTTTTTTTTTTTTTTTTTTTAACACTCCAAAGCTTAAATTGTTGAACTAATTTAACAGGATGTTCTGGAGGCCAAAGGCATAAATGGATTCAGAAAAGGAATAGCCAAATTCAGGGAAACTAGACCAATAGCTTTTAAATGAAAAACTTAGCCTTTGGTCCTTAAGTGTGGATTGCAAGGAGCTCCGAGGACGACTAGGGGAAGTGTGTGCGGTTTCCTTATGCAAGGTATGCATTTGCCACTGAGCTGAGATGGGCCTTTGATCTGGCCTAATATGGTAGTTCTTTATATTCTTATAGGCCTTACTTGTCAGTTTTGGTGAAAGTTAGTGAAAACCCAAAAACACAAGAATCTTTAAGCTTCTGAGAACTTCCTGTGTGCAAACTTTTTGCAGTGTTAACTCCCTGAATTTGTGGACATGTTGAAGCCACAAAGAAAGAACTGTGTACATTCGTCTTCGAAGCATCCTAACACACTTTTGAATTAATCTAAATCAGACTAAGACAACTACAAGCCTCTCCACATGGCTTTAGCAAACTTATTTATTACTATTTTTTTTTTTTTTGCATTTTGAGATAAAGCTAGTTTGGATCATCTGTCCTGAGGGTGTAATTTGATTTAATTTGTCCAGCAGCAGTGCTGGTTTAAGAAATTGTCACCTCAGCACTGCAGTTTGCTAACTTTTTAGTTGTATCAGTACAAGCTACATGGGGTGCTATATTGTATACTGGCTTAGTGGAGCAATGAGATCTCTCTCTCTTTTTTTTTTTTTTTTTTTTTTTTTAAACAAACAAACCATGCTCTAGTTTCTTCTTTTAATCTCATCAAGTTTACGGCAGGCCCCACAAATATTCTGTTGGAACAACAAAGAAGGTGAGCAAAAGGAGAAAAGAGACAGCAACTTCTTAAATAGGCTTTGTTGATGAAGAAAACATCTTGTTTGCTTCTGTGGAGGCACGTCTTTCGTTCTAGTCCTCAGTACTGCTAAAGACTAGAATTTTTTCCTGTCCACTCATAAAATTAGCATGATTTGAATCCTAACAGAGTAGTCCAGAACTCCTGGCTAGCAACCATCACAATATATGTAGGTTCTTCAGTGATAATACAGTACTTAAAATCAGTAATCATTTACAAGGAGTGTCGATTTTTGCACATAATGTTACTGCAAGCAGACATTTATTTTATAGAGCTGGTTTATTTGGAACCACCTTGTGCATTACAATATAGTGCAATGTATGATGTGTTTTGATTTCAATTTGATGTAAAAATACGAATTTTCTGTGGATTTGAAATGCTGAATAAACTTTTTAGTTAAAACAGTCATTTCTTAGCTAGAGCTGAATTTCTTTGGTAATGCTGCCAATCCATATATAGGGACTAAAGACAAAAAGTAATTTCAGGTCGTCTTCTGGACAGAATTGCATTTGTTATTTTACAGATGCATCTGGTAGATATATGGTTGTTGACATAGTGGAAATAAATTGCGCTGAGAGATTCCCAGGTTGTTTTAAGTGAGGAAGGCATATAGTTTTGCTTTGCCACTGAAATCTGAGGCCCTTATTGCAGAGTAGAGTTTTAGTGTGTCAGGAAGCACGTGGAGCATTGCTTATAACAGCTTGGTGGGGGTATCTGAAAAAAAGCAATTGTATTGATTAGGAAAAACAAACAGTAAAAGCTAAACACTGACCTTTAGCTGTTTTGTGTAGAATTGCTTATTTTTTGTTGTCTTCAAGTCTTGTGCTTTCAGCACCTTAGTTTTACGTTGATGGTGTGGATTGCTATTGTTGGTCTTTTGGCACATAAGGCACAGCTGTGGCTTTTGTTTATATGACAGGAGATATCAATTTCCTTTTCCTCTCATTTGTGGCCAAGACAGAGGTAGTTCTTGATATGAGGGGAATGAGGAAGTATGAAGTCATCGTTTATCCACCACAGAAAACCTTTGATAGCAAGTAGGAACCTATTTAACCTGCTCTAGTATCTGCAATTTGCATTCAATGATGCCTGAAAGGGATGTTAAGTAGAATATCTTTGCTAAACTTACAGCAGCAAAATAGGTAAACAAATTGTCCTCATTAGACTCTGGAAAGAAGGAAGTAGTACGCCTCTCTCAGAGCCAATGTTGTAGACTGTGTACTTCAGAAGAGGATAGTGCACTATGTAAAGTGCTATATTTCAGCCTCCTAGCTTACTGTATCACCCAAAGCAATGATAATATTTCGTATTATTAATGGATAAAGTAAGAGTAATCCAATACCATCAGTGGCACATCCGCAGAATTATTGCTGGCAGCAGGATTCATCAGTTGTAAAGGACGTAATATGAAGACATAATTACAGATACACTCCTTTGCCTTCATTGACATAACTTACTTAAAAGAGAGTATTGTTGATGCGTAAGAAAGTAAGTCTACCTTTCACGTTCAACTTTCAGCTATTCAGGATAACCAAAATAGCCTTGAGTAATTAGTCAGCAGATATGACTGTCAATGGAGGAGAGCTGCAAAGCAGAAAGGTGTTAATTTTAAAGTTTTAGAGTGGAAAAGCACTTCTACTCTTTTTTGTGTAGAAGTATAGTTTTAGGCAATACAATGCAAGTTCTTTTATAGAAGTATATTTGTTTGTGCTAAGGCACTGGAGGTCTTGCATTTTGAGTGAATTACGATTTTACTGTTTGGGGCAATTAAATAATATGTCATCATAAAAAAATGGTGGATATAAATATTTTCTACTGAAATACTTTCATAGCTCACTAAAAGAACTGAAGCTTTGATTTTTCTTTTCCAGATGACTGGTAGATATGAAATGTATGCAGACAAGCTCACTGAAGCAGTCCAGCCTTATTTTATACCCAATATAATTAAAGAGTAAGAGAGAGTATCTTATTACAATCAAAGGTTACATACATTAAAAGGTACTGTTGGATGATAGCTTTACTGTGGATCACAAGTTGTTATTTTAATGTTAACATTTTAATTTCCTGTAACCAACTTTTAAATAATACGATTCAAAACTGTGTTAAGTAAAATAATTGAAAAACGGCTGCTTGGGTTGGAGTTTTTTTGTCATTTACACTAATGAGTCCAAACTTTTTTCCTTACTAGAAATATATCCAGTAGGAATACATTGATATAAAACGATGATGAAATTTATTCAGTACTGTGTACTGTGATGTAGTTTGATGGACATGAGTTCAGAGGACATAAAAATTTTTACGTAAGCTTTGCCTTGTGTGTCTATTTACTTCTGCTTTCCAGTTTTTACCCTCTACCTAAATGCATAATTTAGGGAGAAAGGAGGCATAAATTGTTTTTTTTTTAAATTACAAACTGTTTGATGCAGTTCTGTTAGAGCTAAGTAATGTCCCAGACATGTCCTAGTTGTTTGATGATCTATGGGTGCTGTAAAGCAAGACCACTTTGGTTCTTTCTATTTCCCTTTACACTACATATTACAACCAGAGTTGGACTAATGTCTCTGATGGGCTCCTTCAAGGGGCAAACGTACTGCTGCAGCCAGATGCTTTTAATATCTTCAGAAGCTCAGTGCTTGTGTTGTGAGGCAAAAATAGAAACACTAGCTAAAGCATAGGCAAGGCTGGTGCAGTTGCATATTTTTCATTGTGAACAGAAAGCCACAGAGATGCTATTGGGGATCAGGATGGGTAATGAAAACTACTTCCCTGGAGCTGCACTCCAGTAGGATACTCACTGGTTGCAGAGTACACAAAACAGCTGTTGCATATAGATAATACCAATACATTTGCTATTCTCAGCTAGTAGCGTATATTGAAATTTTGTTTTGTATGATTCAGGTGATGCATTAGGTGTTCAGGAAGTGCAGAATGAATATAATTTACAGCCTAGCAACTATGAATTTATAGCTGGAATAAATATTTGAACTCTTAATTTTTTTTTTTTCCAAATTACAATTTCAGCTGTGCCATCTCCAGTTAAGTACGTAACATGTCCTCTAAAGATTTTCCAACATTTTTCATGATAAGCTAATTAATAAATGCACTTGCTACATTATGTTACAGGGTTTTCTGTGACTTTAAACCTTTATTGAGAATGGCTTCATTACAAATAAAAATATATTTATGTATAAAATCCCTGCATGTAAAATACCCCTTCCTTTGCTATTGACATTATGAAGGAAACAAAGTGACAAAACATTTTCAGAATGAGTATTTTGATAGACAATCCTGTAATGGGAAACAAAGTTTCAGGAAATGCAGATGTTCTGAATGCTTGCACAGTGAGCTGCTTTTTAATCTGAATTTGTGTCATATAAATACTCAGTCTTTTCACTTGGCTTTTGCTTCTTCCTTGTGTTTTCATCTCTCATAGCTATCTTCCATTTGGCAGCTATAAGAGATCCTGTTGCAATGGTGGAGTTCTCCTTTTGTTTATATTAGCTTAAACAGCTTTGTTTCTTTATCTTTCAGTTTTGTTGAAGTATTTAATCCCTGGGTACCACACATTTAACAGTCAATATTGTTACACCTGTCTGTGCACTTCAGAACACTTAGCATGCCCTTAAGTTCATGTTTTATGTATAAGCTCAAGATTCGCATTTGGATAACTGAACCAGTAAGAGGCTAAATGTCAATTACAAGCCTTTTGTAAAAATTGATTTTATTTAGCTAACCAAGCCTGCTCTAAAATAAATCCCGTGGCAGTTTAATGGTATTGAATGAACTACCCATCTGAAAATGCATGGGTTAAGGAAGTACTCTATCAACCTGTAGTTTACATACCTGTTAATTAGTAACATAGCTACTACAATCTCTCTAAATCAAACATCATGAATTTGGACTTAAGACACAAAAATTGCCAGATTAGTAGCCTTCTGGTGACTTACTTTGGAGGAGTAAGTCCCAAACCTATCTACAATAGGTTTTGTACCTTTTTTCTGGGATTCTGCTGGTGGCACTAATGTACTGGTTCTGCTCACAAATCACATCCTAATTTTTACTCATTTTGCAAGTGCCAGAATGTATTCCAACTTCATCAGTGATAAGCAAAATTTGATACACTGAAAATTTCTTGTCACATACTTTTTGTTTGGAACTTTTTAAAGGCTACTGCATTTTAAATGTCTGTTACCAATTTTAGCCTTTGTATAAAGGAGCATTCTTGATTCTACTGAGCATACTTATTGAACACTTTCCAGATACTTTTCAGTAAGTCAACAACTGATAAAAGAAAATGTTTTGTCTTAGAAAAATTTTTTACCATGCTGAAAGTAGATTCCTATTTATTACTTCCACCACTAAATAACAATGTCCTTTTACTGTTATTCCACGCAGTTCCACAACTTGAACAGTTCTTTTCCTAAAGCCATGCCAAAGGTGTGGGATCTCTGTCTTAAGTGCAAAATAAAATTTTGCTAACTTTACATCAGTATTGATTTTTCTACCCACTTCAACATAGGCAAGACTGGAGATCAAGACTTGTAGGAAATGGTGATGGATGAATCTGAAATAGATGGCTATTTCTTAAACTTTACAGTGATTTCAGCTCTTAGAAGGTCACTGAACTAATACCAATAGCAAAATTTGGCTCAAATTATTATTCAGCATTTAGTTACAATCCAGATATTACAATATACACACAAAACATATACCATTAGTGTGGATGATCATTTTCTGTATTAGTAAGTTTAAAGTTTGTATTTAGAATGGATTCTGCAGAAACTGGCACATGTGGGTGGCATAATGTTCACAGGTTTTTGCAAAGAGCAATAAAGACTTCTAGGTACAAATAAAATATCTTCACTTAAACTTTTGGGGCAATACAGAGCTCTGTGCAGTCACCCGAGAGGATTTAGCCGAAAGAGATTGAGTTTGTAGTACAAGGGAACAATACCAATAACTATGATTCAAAATTCAATGCAGTGGCATAAATCTCTGCTGAATCTCAAATCCCTAGATTTAGGATGAAGATCAGCTCTTGATGCTTTGACAGAGAGGGAAACAGAAAATTTTCTATTTTTTTTCCTGGTTTTGTTTACCTAAACCTATGCATGTATTACCAAGTGTTAAAGTTCACAAATTTGGTGCTTTTTTTCTCCTGTGTTTAATTCAAAAATAAGCTCGAAGTGAACAGGCTCTGGACCTGTATTTTAAAACTCCAGTCAAATGTGCAATGTTGAAAATGGGGGGGGCAGGAACGAACAGAAAAACAAAACTGAGACATAAATTGCAAAATCAGATACATCATCAGGGAAAAAAAAGGTAAAGACAGCATTGCAATATAGTTTTATCAATGTCTATAAAGCCTCCCTTGTTTAAGATCCCACTGCAATTCAGGAGCAAGGTCTCTGCAGGGGGAGTCCTGAGACAAACAGCCAGCTTCCATGCGGGCTGCACAGGAAAGGACCAGAAGTATCAGGTGTGGATGTCAGCTGTCTGTGTAAATGAACAGAATATCTTCATCAGTGCCGTAACTTGTCCTGGCTTCCTCAAAGTTACTGATGCTGGTGCAGCATGTTCCTGTTAGGAGGAATAAAATGTTACTAAAAATGCAGCAATGTGAAAGGCTCTTACACTGGGTCTAGCAGCCTTTACAAAGAAAAATAACTAGTATACAGACTTGACTTATTAGCTTGGGTTACAGCTTTACTCAGGTAGATCTTTTCACCTCAAAGGCAGTGCTCACTGAAGTAATGCTGTAAATAGGTACTAAATTGGCCATCCTGTTATATTCTAAACAACAGTTCAGCATCTCTCCCTAACCCATTTGAAAGCCAAACAAGTTTGCCAGAACATGTACCTCAATGCCTCAAGTCAATCACAGCACAAAATGCAGCACTGATTTAATTAATGTGGCAAAACCCCTTCTGACAAACTGGCTAGTGATGCTTGAAATATATGCACACTATTAGGGGAAGTCCAGCTGTGGCTCTTTATTACAGACATGTTAGTAATGCAGTGGCTGAGAATCCACCCAAAAGGAACAGGCTACTCACGGTCAGCATAGGCAGGGTTATTGTAGTAAATACTCCCTGAGGCTTTGTTGTAGCCACATAACACAATGAAATGGCCCTGGTAGTCAGGATTCCTGCAGAAGCACTTCTGTCCAATGGGGAGGAAGCAGCAGTATTTGACGGGACTTGAGCAAAGATCACACAATAGCAGGACCGCATTCACTAGGACAATGGCTACATGACCTTGGGACAGGTGGTTTTGGATGTCTTGAACAGTTACTGTGCTGCAGAAAAAAAATCAGACATCCTTATTAACAAGCTTAGGTAAGAGACTGGTATACAATGACGTGTGTGATGATGGACAGTACTTATGACATGTAGCTGGCATGGTTATTTTTGTATCGCAGGTACAGCTTTTTGCTGTTAAACCTGCAAGCTTTGCTACGGACAAAGCCTGACAAAACCTGTGTCATTCAAGGCCTTTTGATCTCATTGCTGCTACTGAAGTGCAGAGCAACAGCTCTGGATTCTGCAGTAATAGAAATATAATCTCAGAATGTATCAGATGCCCCAGAGAAGAGTATTAAAGGAGCTGGCAACTCATTCAGTAACTTGAGAGACTTCTGCTGTGGGAAAATCGTAAGTGAAGTGTTCTCTCCTGCTCTTACAGAAGCTTATCTCATCTCTGAAGCACCAAATCTTTATTGACTGAGTGGTTAAAGATTGTATAGTCACTAACCAAATTAAGACATGCCCAAATTTGCCTCTGTCACACAGGGATATGTTTCTCCCAGTTGCAATTTTGGACTACCTGATGCTCGTGAGGTTTTATTTCTATAGTACCTCCTACAGAGAATGAGTATTAACCAAACATAACCTATATCTCATCTGTTAAAAATTGTCCTTTGCTGAGGCAGATGGTGTCTTCCATATGCATTAGAAACTCATCCCTTGGATACGTTCCAGATGTCCGGGCTGTGTGCACTACCTAACTGAACTCATGTGCTTTTTAATCTTTTCTAGTGTCGCTTCTCCAATTTGATGCCCCAGCCTCCGTACTGCACAGGTAGATACGGCCCCTGCACCTGCCTTGATCTAGGCCACGATCTTAAGATCGCTAAAGATGGACTGACTGTCCCTTCTGTCCTGTCACAGCTCTAGTTAAACAGATGGTGCCATACAGACTCTGTATATGTTAAAAAGGACCCTTAAGGATTCTGCTAAATGAAAGTTGCATTGCAGCATTCAAATGCTGTTGTGGCTGCCCTGTACCCTCTCTTCTTTTCTTACTCCTAATCATTTAACCCACTTTGACAACAGAGATCCAAATCCAGCTTCACTATAAAAAGGGATGCAACTCAAGTTGAACATGGATGCTTAGTTATTTCCCATGTAGAATAGCACTGTCGGTTGTGAAACAATTCTGCAGTTTTTCCCCTTCTGGGTTTGCAGTTCTTTCATAGAGGTTCTTTATTTCATCCTCCCCTTGGCAAAAGCTTGTATGCTAGCTTTTTCTTTGCGCATCTGTCTAGGAACAGAGAGGTATAATGTTTGCATAGCTCTGGGAACAATGGGTTGTGTGCCCACGTAGCACTCTCCTTAATTCCACAAAGGCACATTAGAGTGCTGCCCATTAGAGTGCTGTAGGCACTCCCTACTGGGTAATCTTAATGGATAATCAAATGGAAAACATAAACAATAGTCAACTCCTGTCAGCATTTTCAAATCACTTATTCTGTCTCGTGACTATTTTTCCTCAACCTTCATTATTAACTCTTGATGTCCACTTTTTGGTTTTTTTGAGACAGGTATAGTAGAAAGACTGTAATTCACAAAAAGGCTCAGGGCCTGATTTCAGTCTCTTTCTCCAAGAAAAGCATGGGGTCCACAGAATCTCCAAAGAGAAAGAAAAGAAAACAATAATCTTACCACTTCTCCACCAGCACCTTGCAGGCTTTGGCTTGTGCAAAGAGCTGATTCACTCGATTCTCTTCTGTGTCAAAGTGCTTCCTGTAAAATGACTGTGGAGATAATAGAAGTTATGAACTGGAATGATGTTTACTTTAGGTAATCCACCACTTAGAATCCCTGCTAGCAAGGGCCTGCATAAGTTGGAGATCCGGCTATGGGATAAGAGAGCTCTCCCTTAGTTCACTGGTAAGAGGATAAGGATTCCTCCTCTAAATTGTAAGTTTAAATTCACTCCTGGTCAGTTATTGTTGTAATTTCCATCCAGTGGCTATTCAGTTGCCTACATGAAAGAAGCCTGTCTGGTTCATACTGGGCAGGAGCTTGCATTAGAAAAGCCATCGCCACTATAGGCCCTCATTGGCACCCTTGTTGGCAATCTTGAAGAGGCCAAGCTCTCAATGGACATGGAGGCCAAGTTCCCCTCTCACCTCTAGAGGTGGTTCTTCCAGGTCAGGGCTGAGGCACGGTGGTGGGGAAAGTGGAAGCTAGCACTGCTGCTGCCCAGGCTGTACCTGTTCTGTAGATAAATAGAGGGCTTCAGTCTCCAAGGCTGTCAAATAGGCTGGAAGCTTTCATGAGCACTGCATGAAAACTTTTTAAAAAATTCATATTACGGAATCAAAGATGAAAAATATGTGGGATCATATCTAGCCTCGCCTTTGGAACTGATTTATGCCAGTTTTGGCAATAGGCAAACCTTGTTTACAGGAACTGTGGTAAATTGTCAGTAACACAGCAGAGCTTTTATAGCATGACACACAGGGCTTTTAAAACTGTCTGCTGTCTCCCAGTAGATAAGAACACTAACCTGATTTTTGTAGCCCTTGTCCACTCCAAGCGTCTGGGTGCAAAATTTATGCTTAACACCGAAGTGCCGCATTAGGTAGGCCAGGTCAATAGTCCAGATACTCTTTGTTAACTGGAGTTCCTGGATGGCTTTCTGAAATTCATCATTGTCCAAATGATTCAGATACCTATGGTATTAGGAAAGGCAGGGGAAGGGAAGCACAGATCTTAGGAGAAGCAAAATGTGTGCTGTAGCCCAAGCCTCCACATCACAGGACGTAAAAACTGAAACAATGGGCTTGGCTAAGAAATAACAAAAAAAAAAAACAACCCACAAAGGAGCCACAAATTTAAGGGAAGGGAAGGGAGTAGGGAATATTTAACTGGATTTATTGCTGACTTTTTTTAATTGGAAATGTATGGGTATCTTGACTGTTTTACGGTGCTAGAAGTGCACAGATGCTGTACAATAGGCAAGCTATACTGAGCAAGTATAGAACTCTGTCCTGAATTAAAGCAAACACAGAAAGAAGTGTTAAAAGACTAAAACTTGCTTCACGCAATAGATTGATTCAAAAGGAGGAACTGTAAAGGAAGTCAGTAAATATTCAAAGGAAGCTTGTCTTAGGCACTGATGGCACAAAAGGCAATAAAGGGGAGATGAAGTCAGGAGGAAGCTTGGGACAGGTTGCAAAGGGGTGGGGAAAGGCAGTTACAGAGTTCTGGAAGTCAGAAAACAAATGGAAGTAAATGGCGGAAAAAAAAAAAAGGACTGGAATTGAGGATGCAGGGCAAACAAGGTCAGATCAGCAGGGTAAGAAGATTAATCTTGGAAGCTGAGTTTTGGGCAGACTGGAGTGGCAAAGAGGTAAAGGGAATAAAGAGGCAGAGGTTACAGTAGTCAAGATGGGAAATTACCAGCACACGGACTAACGTCTTGGCAGAAGGGATGGAGAGAAATGAAAATCTTCTGCTTCATATCTACTAAGTGGACATCTAAATAGGTATTTCTCCTGCACCTAAGCTCATGTTCCTCTGTGGATTTTGCAGGACAGCTACTAGTTCAAAAAAAGAAAAACCAAACCAAACAAAAAAAACCCCCAAAGGGAAATATAGTGCATTGTTTTGAAGTTGAACAAAAACACTTATCCCACAGACTGGGGGCTCAGCAGGATAGAGGTAGTATATACTCATAAATTGGGATACACCTACCCATCACTTGAAAACACAGAAAGGAATTAGGTGAATTGCTGTGCTAAGTATCAGTTCTGAATTGTAACAACAGGAAAGAGGGATAACTTTTTATTAGCCAACCTGCAAAGTTCTTAGAGCTGATCAGATATTTTGCATCTGCCAAAACAGTCAATTATTCAAAAGGGTCTTAAGTTCATCTTAGTTTATATTTTCCCTTGCTCCTGCTGGAGACTTGTGCCAGGCCCAAGCAGCAGTAATTCTCTAAGGGTACCTAAGAATATGGGATCTCATAAAACTAAGTTAAACTCATAGCTGCTTCAACACACCTCTTCTCCCTGGATGTTGCTTCCCACTACCCCTCTCCCATGGGATGGGATTTCCCACCCGTTCAAACCAAAACAGTCACTTACTGAAGCACCATCCTGGAGCAGGCTAGCCCACAGTCCCAGTGGTACAACTGCTGAATGACTGGCACTTTCAGCTGGATGCAGTCAACTGTAGTGAAAACACCTCATTGTGAGTAACACACAGAAGATGTCAATCCATACAGGAATGTTTTTTCCATGTCTCAGCATTAAAAGTCAGCTTGTCCTCAGCACTATAGTGGCAGAAACTTAGAAACATTTTTTTACTTTATCTGATTGGCAGGTATTTTTTCTTTCTTCGGGGAATGTAGATTTCTGTACAGTTAAGCATTTGGTTTAATCTCATACTCCTTTATTGTTTCATAATTAGATCACTCTGCTGTATGGTCCGCCCCCTTTTCCTTGGAAGTTTCATTTTATTCCTTTTGGTAGGGTGACACACCCACCAGCCCCCAACTATGAAGCTGTATGCCCTCCTAAATAATAGCAGGTAAGGCACAGGTATTCATCCTTTCTTTTGTGTCTATATTTCTGTGCCACAAAAGCAGTTAAACTAAACTGAGAAAACAGACACAACCAAGATCTCCAGGCATTGATCTCTTACAAGCCCCACAGATTTGAGCCTTTTCTACAGATGTCTTTTTCCTCAGGGACTGTGAGTAATCTCAGGTTAACAAAGCTCACAAATGGCACCAGTTGGCCTTTTGTATTAACTCCCTCAATAACTCAACAAAGGGAGAGGGAAAAAGAACAATCTCTATGAAGAAGTCCCAGAATACAAGTAGCTCCATCCCTCTAGCTCAGATTTTATTTTTATAAGGTTGGCAATGTGGTGGTTTCAGTTTCAGAACCACCCTTACCACTCGAAGGACTTGAAGAGTTGTGCCTATTATTGCGACTGCAATGTCAATCAAAGTGAGTTAATCATAAAGGGCTTTTCTCAGTAACCTTACCTTTGATCTAGAAAAGACCTTTGAAAAGTTTTGTTAACACAAGGTCAACTACATTTTAAGATGGGAATAAAAATGCATTTGACATCATATGGACTGGTCTAGTTTTGATGTAATTTTATTTATAAAACTTTTTAGATAACGTTGTTTGTAATCTTACATTATTTTTACCAAAGCTATAGCCTACTGTAGAGACAAGCCAATACAGATATTCTGGACTCTTTCCAAACATTCTTTCATAGTTGTGCCACTGTTTAATCATTACTTTGAAGACTGGCATACCCATTGGTATATTCAGTCTTCTTAATTAATCTAGATTAAGGTGCTCTTAAGTATCCTAAAGAAAAAATGAAAACCCAATTCCCAGATTCTCCTCAAACGAGGATCTGTAAGTATTTCGTTGTAATTTTTTCTTGGCATGTTATGATTCTGTCCCCTTTTTGTTAATACCCAGGGCCTCTGTCAAGTCCCAAGATTAACTGAAGAGGTACGTGTTTTCTATGTGAAGACTTCAAAGCGTAATAACTTGGTAATAATTTTCTTGGATGTTCAGCTTCCAGTCATTCTGTTTCCCCACACACCCAGACTTCTTCAGGGATGACTGTCAGCTGTCCTGACGCAAGATACAAGCCAGTATATGCTGTGGCTGTAAATAACACTGAAAACACCTCTCCAGTTCGCCAGCTCTCGGCGCAGCGAACTTGGAGACGGAGCCAGTAATTCCACATCGCTGCTGCTGCAGCTTCGCGCCTCAGGGAGGGCGGAGGAGGCTGCCAGGGCCTCCATCCGAAGGGGATGGCAAAAGCCGCCCGCTCCCCGCCGCCGGCAGGGCCGTACGCAGGG